AATTGTTTATATTTTTATTTTATAAGTTACTACTTTTGAAATGTTAAATACCATATGATCATATTTATTTGAAATTTTCGAAATTATTATTCATTCATTTGTTTTGTTTTTCAAATCTTTTGAAATAAAGATACCAATATCATTTACAAAATGTTGTGAATGATTCCATATTTAATGAAGCATTGAATTATTTATTTGGGAAGATATTGTTATGTTGTAGTTGAGAATTGATAATCAACATTAATGTTGAATAATTTCTTCCAATCAAACCCAATAAATATTTTGAATGATTGTCTCTTTAACGATTTATTGCGCAAATTATTTGAGAAGAAGATTTTGTCATTTTGTAGTACAATATTGATGATCATACTTAATGTTATGAAGAATTTGTTCCAATCACACACGTATTACTTGCTTTCCATCAGTTTTGACGGTTCAACTATCAAATTTGACATTTCAAAATTGTCAGAATAGATATTTCAATTGTCGATTTATCCTATTTACTATTGTATGGATTTAAATATTCGAATGTGCCACTTTCATTTTATTAAATGCCAACATATTAATTGTACAGAATTCTTATCATTGCAATCTCAGCTTTTCAAGTATGAGTAATCATTTGAGATTCATCATGTCGTGTGGAGAAAGTTTGTTATGTAGATGATGAAGGGAAGTGGAGAGGGGACAAAATCACTCCAATCGTAGTTCCGACAGGTATCGCGCTACCTTCACTTATGTTACGATTGAAGGACAAACTTGGTATTCTTGATCTCTGTACTCAAATTGAATTGAAGTTCAAATCCTGAACATGAATATACATCTGACCGAAATACGTGAAGATGAAGAAGAAAGCCATGCCATGCTATTTATAATCAAATTATTGGAGTGAAGCAACTATGGTCATTTAGTACACAACCACTGTCTCACAACTTAAGTTATTACTTGAGTGACAATTGGTTTGATGGTTTAAGGTCTACGTGTACTTTTATCCCCTAAACTTTGTCCATAATTTATAAGAATTGTGAATATTAAATCATGAGTACCATTTTATTATAAAGTTTCCTTTATTATTTGTTGGTAATTAATGATCATGAGTACTTTTTGATCTTAAGTGTAGTACTTACCTGAAAAACACATCATTTACTATTAGGGAACATTCAAGATGACAGAACATGATTTAAGTATTTTTATTAATATTATTTCTTCTACTTGTGATACATGTACTGTTGATGTGGAAATAAATGTTACGTATGTTAGAATAAAAAGAGCAAACGTCCTTGGGTATTTTGATATTTAAACTTCTCATTAGGAGAATTCAATCAAACAAATCCAATTTTGTCATGTACTAATCAAACAAATCAACAAATATATCAATTACAAAGAGAAACAAATCATCTAAAACAAATAAAATTCGCTTTATAAAAGCAATGGCCAAAGATTCACAAGCTACATGATTGCAAAAGAGCTTTCATTCAATTGATTTCTAAGTAGATAATGGAAGAAGCATTCTTCGCTTCTTTTTTCGGGCCAGTCTATCTTGTTTTATAATTTTCATGCATAAAAGCACTAGCATTACAATAAATACCAAAATAAGAGCAAGCCTTAAATACCTACAATGTAAAGAAGTGGCAAAGAAAACGAGTAATGATAAAATGATAAGTTCCCTTATCACAAAGATAACAACGTCCACCCTACATCTAGCAAACACAACATATGAGAAATGACAATTCTCTGAGATGCATAAGTACAAATATATACAACCACCAAGTCATGTTTATAATCAAATTCTTGAAAGAAAGCAACTATGGTCATTTTGTAGATAGTCACCAAATCGAGTTTAACATAGTATTAACAAACTTCCTCACATTATTTATTGACTCTCTTTCTCCTCTCTTTGGTGAATGGAGTCCTGATAGATGTTGCAGGAAATCGAACGTGTGACAATCGCAATTTCTTTGTATTAACAACATCGTCGCTTTCAACAGGTATGGAGGCCGCCACCGATACGCCGGTGACATCACCTACACAAAAGTAGTGAATTGTATTAGTTATCCAAAATGCCAAATTATAACATAACATAATCTATCAACATATAATTATCCTCTCGGCTACCTAAAATCAATATAATATTATCTGTAAAAACAACGTTCAATAAGAAAGCAAAAAAGGAAAAAAAAATTCGTATATTTAATGCAAAACATATGTATAATATTCAGATGAACCAAAGATGGACACATCGACAAATGACTACAAAATTGAACTATCGAGAAGTAATTATCTATCGAGAAAACTAATTTTTGATAACCCAAGAATAACTAACCAAAAGGGGGTGAATTGATTTTTGAAACTTTTTCGACTATTAGTCTTAAAACTATTTAATACACAAGATATATATGCAAAGTGTAATAAGAGAAGTACATATGCAAATTCGATAACTTAATTC